TTACTACTTCCATATTTAGTTTGAATCCAGATTTTCTAACAGTACACACTGTAATAGTTTTTGTAACAACATATTTAATACAGCAAAGAGAATGGTTATCATCTACAAAATGCCACTCCAATTACAATTGCATTATTTTACATCATTTATAGTGGGATTTAAAAGTATAATAAAGACCCCCCAAAAAATTAAGGATGGATGGGCTTTGAAATGGTGCCAATCAATCTTTAGTGGCCTTTGGTCAATCACCCCCTTGAAAACCAGCATGGAGTTTCATAATAGGCCAGAAATGCCTAAACTTCCAGACAGAACGTGGCTCTGTGCCACTTTTGGCCTTTATTGCTTCAGTTTTTCCTAGCACAGAAGCAACTGTAGCATAATTTAAGCAACTTCTTAAGGTGCTCTGAATTACAGCAGCCCTTTGTATGCTGGACACAGGATTTCCCAGACTCTCTGGGGCAGACAACTTGCAGGCCTGCTTTGACTGTGAATGTGTCAATTGGTTCCTGAATAGGATTCTCTCTGGTAGAAGGTCCTACCAAAGTGCTTGCAGCTGCTTTGTGTTGCTCTGACCTCCTGTCTGGTGTGAAACAATTTTACACAGCATGTGAACAACTTCTTGAGTTTGAAATACAAAGAAGGGAATGACATTTTGCGGTGGTCTAATACCAATACTGCAGTAAAGCAAAAAAATACTTCCATATGTCATTCTGTAAAGGATGTGATAATGCTGTATTATGTGGAGGCCACCTTGTGGCATTATGGAAGTAGTATCCAGATATAAAAAACAACACAGCGTTTAGGTTGCATACCAAGGAATAAGGATTTTAAACTGCTTGTATTTTTGGAAACCAAATGGCACAGTGATGTGTCATTCTAGCCTTATGTGAATGATTACAGGTGGTGTCTGTACAGGCAACAACACAGGAATCTGAGGACGTGTGTAGCACTGTTCTACATGGCATTGCTTCTTACATAGCTTAATGGATGCTGTAGTTCTTAAAACATGCTGCTTGTGTGGTTTAAGCACAATTGCTCCTTAACAGATGTAGGGACAAATTTTACAGTGAACAGGAGCAGATGAGTACTGCAAAGTACTGTAAAACCAACTTCCAGGTTATCATCATGTTACACCTGTATTTGTTCTGCCTGCAAGAGGGGATCTGGAAATTTTTACGGGAGGAAAATTATGTTCCTTTTCCCTGCACTTAAGCTAGTAATTAAATTTCTTCCACCAAAGAATGAAATTTGAGTTCAGTAAAGATCAGTTCAGTCAATTGCAACCAGACAAAACTGGCTATTGTCTGGCAGTCTCAATGTCAGTGTTTGCTAATTCCTATGAAGAGTGTACTGAAGTAGTATCCTGTTTATGTTTTTGGACATATATTATCAGAAAGGTGGAAACAATTCACTCCTGGGGAAAAAAAAAAGTCTTCAAGTTGGGGGTGGAAAATGGAGGTAAGGTAAACCTGATGGCAGCCTGAGTACATTTGTGCCCCAACTCAGAAGCAGGACCCTCTCAGGTTGTTTTACATTCAGGACACCACAAAGACTGTCACTGAATCCAGGCTGCAATCCTGACTTGTTCTGTACATTTTCTTATGTTAAACTAAGTAAACGTTTCTAGTGTAGCACTGTAAATTGCCAGTAGATGGCAAAATGATTCCATCCTACAATAAATTTTATTTTTAAAAAAATCAGTGCTGAAGGAAATATGCTGCACAATTTTTGTTAATTCTGTTTAAACATAGTAAAGCTTGTGAAGGAGAGAGCTCAGTAAATGAGTTAACCTTGCTGTGGCCTTTTACAGTACCTTTATGATGAATTCTTCCATCTACCTTCCGTTTGTGTATTCTCATAGATCTGCTTGCTTGGGTGGGCATTTTGATTTCTTCTCACCTCTAATTAGTTTCTCAAAAAAAAAAAGTAGGTATGAGTACACATATTATTTGATGCACATATTATTTATTCTTCTTATCAACTAGGTCTGTCTTTACTTCCACTGAATGTTTGTGAACTAGCATTGCTCATCTGGTGCACTGGGTGTTACCTGTATTGGGGGACTGACTCAAAGACTGTAGTAGGATTAGAAGCAGATGGCTGAAGCTGCTCCCTGCTTGTCTGCTGAAAGTCAACAGCTTTGCTTATCGCTGCCTGAATCATACACAAAACAGATTGTGGGCTGCTGCTCTTTGTGGTCCAGTGTATTAAAGTACACCAGTATCAATGACAGGATCATGTTCATTTTCAAAAGCAAATATTTAAATACTAGCCAAGGTGCTATCAGCTTTATAGAAAGAGAAGTTTTCAGAGCAATTGCACTGAAATGTTCAAAGGTGAATGAAATGCTTTACTAATGGTCAACTACAAGCAAAATTCTATATAGCAAGTTTTGCTAGCAGTCTGACTGCGAAAAGGATTCGGCACAAAAATAAGTTCTCCTACAGTTTTTTGTAAACTCCTTTCTCCCTCAGGGGAGACAAAAACCTCTCTTGCTACTTAAAGAGTAGCTACCAGTATGCCAGACTACATGATTCTCTGTAAATGGCTGTGATGCTCATGGATTTTGATGTTGCATTTGGAGAGCCCAGAGGGATTTGATGGGTCTCCTTTGCTTTTTCGGTTTGTACATGAAACCAGAAATGACAAGAATCTGGAAATGTGGATTTCAGTGTTATCAATGTGATGACATTACATTAGTCTAGACCTCCTCTTTGTTCAATCCATTAGGGACTGTCAGCTCTCATCCATCTGGCTGACAGTTCTGTAGCATTAGCGACAGCTGGCTGAAGTAACTGAGACAAACCTGAGAATTTGCTTGTGAGCAGGGTAGAACTTCTAAGAAACTTGCTAGTTTCTACGTAGCTGTTACTCAGGGAGTGAATCCATCAATGAAGAGACAGCTATAAACATGGAGGTCATCCTTGATTGCACTTTCAGGAGGCTGATGGAATTGTTCAGTTGTTTCAATTGAACTGAAACTGTTGCTTAGCAGTTTTTTATCTGTCTTCTGATCAGGGATTCACTTGACATCAAGCTGCAGACACAACTTTGCTAGTAGTGAAATTCCTTCCAGACAAAAACCAGGTAGCATCTACTAGATGATGTACTAAGAAAATGAGTAGTTGGTTATATTTTGATAAATTTATACCCAGACACTTTTATTTCTTTGTTTCCACTACTTTTGTTCTGGGATTTGTTCTTTTTACCTAGAAGGCAAACACCCACAGCATGGTATCAAAACTCACAAATGGCATTGTGCAATCCACTCAAAAGAGATGCTGTTATAGCTAGTCTTAATCGAAAAGGCAGTAATTAACCAAATTAATTATTTTTTTAGTTGTATACACTTAAAAATATGGTAACTGATGTATCTGTTTTTATGAAATAGTACTATTAATATGTAAAGAAGCTGTACAGTGAGAGGAAAAGGGACTGTTTACCTAACATTAAAAAGGTTGCATGCCTATATATGCAAAGTTTCTAATAGCTGTATTAAGATATGCCTCTGTAATGAAAGCTGCACCCACAGTCAGGGTTTCTACATGAGGGTGGGATTCTAGCCAAGAGGCTGTTTAAGTAACTTTGTCAGTTTGTTAGGAGGATGATACAGAGAGAAGCTTCCTGCATTAGAGTATGAAAGAACAAATGATGTTTTCTTTGGGTTCAGGAGGATTTAAACCAAGCAACTGTATTATCTAGGTTATAAAAATAAATTCTTTGATTAAGGATTTCCTCAAAACTGGAGGACACAACCATTCTATGTGGTCTGAGAGCATCCTAATACAGGTGCTTGAGGATATTTTAAAAATAGGAGCATTTTTACACTAACTGTATATAAAAGCTAGCAACATGAGATGTCACTGTGAAGATGATGTCTTTCTGTGGTGCTATACTAGTGTCATGGTTTAATCCCAGCCAGCAACTAAGCACCACGCAGCCACTGACTCACTTCCCCTGCTCCCCCGCTCCCCCCCCCCAGTGGGATGGGGGAGAAAATCGGGAAAAGAGTAAAACTTGTGGGTTGAGATAAGAACAGTTTAATGGAACAGAAAAGAGGAAACTAATAAAATGACCAGGTTAATCGCCTCTAACATAATCATGCTTAATAATTAAATAATGTTTTCAATGTGTTCAGTAATTAACTCTGACATAAGTAAGAGAGGTAAAAAGGAAGCAAGCATAGCCACAACGTGCCAATGAAATACGTATGACATAACAGCACATGCCGTGTAAAGGGAAATAAGGGTAGGGAAGGTATTACAGCCCTCTTGGTTTCTCCTGTAACTCTGTGCTTGCCTGCTGAGTAACAGATTTTCATACTATTGTACTGTCAACAAGTTGTGGTTATTCATCAGAAACAAACTGTAGTGCTATAAATCAAAAAGATGATGCTTTAGGCCTTGATTAAATGACCAATTTTAAGCTTTTTCTTTTGTAAGCTTTTTTGACTGTTTCCTAGAAAAAGGTTGATTATTACTCTTTGCATGATGACTATTAAGATTTAACTCTGAAACTGAAATGTCTTGATTATGAATGGATCCATCTGTTACCAGGGAAGAGCATCTACTTTTCACACATTTATGTTCTTCAGGTTCGCGTTTGTGTCCTTCAGTGTTTTAAGTAGCAAATTATCTCACCCTGTTTTCACTCACAAACTGAAAAACAAAGGAGCCCTCCCTCCCGTCCAACACCCGCTCCACTTCTCATCTTGGAAGGAGCGAATGGTGCGCGGGGACAGATTATCCGGCTCGCGAGCTACCGGTGCCGCAGAGTCAGAGCGAGCTCCGCAGAACGTTTTTAGCAGCTGTGCCGCTTTCAGGGGCCAAGAGCAGCAGCTGCGGGGTCGGGAAGGCCTCCGTGACAGCCAGCCCTGTCGCCTCTAGTGAGGGGCAGGTGCCCCCGCGGCCTTGCGGGCGCTGTCCCCGAGGTACGGGGCTTCCCCGCAGCCCGCGCGCTTGGGCGCGGAGGCCGAGACGAAGCA